AAATATTGGTGTAAAGTTCCCCCAGTAAAGACCCGTAACCAGGCCTTCACAGCTTTTTCAAGTGCCTAACTGCTTATGGCCCAACTGGCCCTTGCACTCTTGCCTGCTCTTTTCCTACCTTCTTCCCTTTGTTCCCCCTGGGTTCCATGTCTTTTGGAGAAAGCACAACCTGCACCCTAGGGCATGTATGCCTATCTGCTTGGGTGCAACACGGACCAGCCTCTGGTCAGACAGAGTGAGACTCATCCATCCGAGCAACACGCAGCATATGGTGCCATCCACCCAGCTCTCCTGAGCAAGAAGACTCGAGCAGATGGGGAGGAAATGCACTCCCATCAGCAAGAGCATTCATCACCCCGCATGCTGCTAAATACAGTGCTTGCTGCAGTTTAAACATCTGCCCATCTGTCTTTAGAAATGGACTCCCTCTAGATCAATTACAAGATCAGAGGACATCTTCAAAGGATGCAGAACGTGACAACCCTCTGGTCAGTGCCAGCTCTCTGTGGTCCAGGACCCAATGTGCAGACAAATAACTGCCTAATGCCCTGATGGAGTCACCATGCCTTTGAAGCTCATGCCATGCTGGGGTTACAGCCTGCATGGAGCACTGCCTGAGCACAGCCAAGTCCAAGGGGGATCACATGCTTTGTAAGAGAAGAATGGTATTGGCTTGTCACCACTTTGCCCCCAAACAGCCCAGAAACGTGCTGAGCAGCACAGCTCAGCTGCTGCTGAGGGGCTGCTTACTCAGATCAGCTATCACAGTACTTGGTCTGGCTGCAGAGGACTTGGAGCCACTGAAAACAGATGGCAGCTTCAGCTCACAGAATGGAAGTCACCCATGTCGTACCACTGGAAATTTATTTGGGAGCCTTTAATCCCAAGAGAAATCCTCAGCTCCTCTCTGATCATTCCCATTTCCAGAGGATTTCTTCCTTAGGAACAGGCTTGCTAGAGAGCACAAGACAAGCACTGCCATGCAGAAACACAGAGCTCCACACAGGACACGGAGGAACTTCCAGAACAAAACAGACCTTTTGGGGCTCCTTTTGGGGCTCTTTTTTAGCTTTAAAGAAAAGTTGACTCAGCAAATATTTCTCCTGCTCGCATTTCAACCACACGCTCCAGCCGAAGCCAGCACACATCTGGCACACTGCAGTGTCATTGCAGAGAGATCACAGCTTCTCCGAGGAACGGAAATGGAGGAATAGGGACCAGCAGCCCAGGCACCGTGCACTCCTGGAGCACATACGTGGCAAAGGAAGATCACAGAGAGGAGTCACGTGAGTCATGGACACCCCACACTTCACCAGCCCTTGCTCCAAACAGCATCCATAGGCAAAGGGAGACGCTGCGCTGCAACCCACGTTGCTGGCATCAGAGGTTTCTCACGGTGCCCATGAGCTGGATGGCAGCACATTCCTCCCGGTGCTATAGGACGTGGTCCTGCTGAGCAAGAGAAATGAGTGGGGCAGCACAGACACGGCAGGAGCTGCAGAAGGGAGCACACAGGCAGTGGACGGCCCTCACAGGCAGGCTGGTAGCAGCACACTTCAGGTCGGAGAATGCTGTAGCAGATCCACAGGGCTCCAAGCGAGAGGTAAATCAAAGCATGCACTCCCCCTCCACAAACACTCTTCCCAGAAGGCTGCCAAGGCAATCAGCAGTTACGGTGCTAAGCTAAGTGCTGCTTCCCGTGCTAATCAGTTCTAAACTGGACATTACTTGCAGCCTAGCAGCTCACCACAGCTCCAGACACACTAAGAGCAGCAGTGTTACAAATACCTTCCGTAGAACAGCTCAGGAAGGGACTTCAAAGGCCATCTAATCCAACCCCCTGCGATAAGCAGGGACATCTTCAACTAGATCAGATTGCTCAGAACCGCATCCAGCCTGGCCTTGAACGTCCCCAGGGATGTGCATCCACCCCCTCTCTGGGCAACCTGTGCCAGGGTTTTACCACCCACACTGTAAAAACTTTCTTCCTCACGTCTAGCCTGAATCTCCCATCTTAGTTTAACACCATCACAACAGCCCCTGCTAAAAGGTCTCTCCCCATCTTTCTCATAGGCCACTTTTAAGTACTGAAAGCCTGCAATAAGGTCTCCCTGGAGAGGCAGTGTCCTCCCTGGTTACTCTTCATTTCTCAGCAGAAACTGCAAAGCAAACCGTGCAGCTGTGCACGGGGACACAGAAGGGACCACAAGCAGGTACAGGCAATGCGCAGGGCTCCGGTTTCCAACCAACAGGGTGAGAAACAAGGCGATGTGGCAGGGGGCTGCTGTGGGAGTCTTCAAAGCCAGGCTGGAAACCAGCTCACAGCCAAAGCCCCGGTTCCTCAGGCAGGGAAAATGGAGGCCAGCAGGGAGAAAGAACCACCATGGAGCACTGCAAGGGAAGGCGCGTTTGGGGCTTACGGCTGGAGCTAGATGCCATGAAAAGCAACAGCCATATACATCAACTGGGTATCCACATGTGCCTACAACAAGGAGCTGGGGACAAGCAAGGCAGCCGGGTGGCTCCCTAAGTGAAGGAGGGGGGTGGCTCCTCCGGATGAGCTCAGCAAGGGACAAAACCCCTCAGCAGCCGGGACCCGCTGGTTTATCGCGGAGCTCTGAGCTGCTCATGGGGAAAACCCACCCGCTGCAGCGCACACCCGGCCCTCCGGGGCCAGCCCCTACCGCCCGCGGCCGAGCCTAGCGAGGGGGCTCCGCCAGCGCCCGTTCGCCGTCTCGCAGCCAGCCCATGTCTGGCGCATTTGCATCCAGCTCCTCCGAGCGCGCCGGGCGGGCAGGGCGAGCCGGCGCACGCCGGGGAGGGAAGGAGGACCCGGGGCGAGGCGCTCCGGAGGCTCCCAGCGCGGCGGGGCCGCCCTCCCCCTCGGGGGTCGCAGTGGAGGGGCCCGCACCGCGCCGCGCCTGCCCCGCACAGCCGGGATCACGGAGCACCCTCACGGGACGCCCCAGCACCACCGGGAGCACGGGAACGCGGAGGGCGGGGGGGGCGAAGCAAGGGACCGGAGCACCGGGGGTACTGCGGTGGTCGCGGAGCCTCACTGCGGGCCCGTTGTTGAGGGGGGGCGGGCATCAGGACCCGCATCCTCACGTCGGGGGACGCTGCGCGCCCGGCCCGGCCCGCACTCACCCAGCAGCAGCAGCGCCCGCACCGCCGCCATCCTCCGCTCCGCACCGCTCCCCGCCGCGCCGGTCAGTGCGCGCCCCGGCCCGTGGCCATGCCGCCGCCGCCGCCCCGCCTGCCGCCGCCGGGAGGGGCTTCCGGGGGTGGGGCGGGCACCGGAAGCCGGGCGGGGCCCCTCGGTCAGCGCCCGCCTCGCTTCGGCGGGCAGGGATGCGGGGGTCGCGCTGGGAGCCCCGCGGGGACCGGATGCTGCTGCCCGCAGCCAGTCCCGATCGGGGTGTCCAGAGCAGAGAGGGGGCAGCAGAGCTCACGCCGAGGGGCTCCTCACGGCCGGTGGTTAAAACCCCCCGGTCCCTTCAGAGCCCCTGGGGCAGCACCGGGAGGCAGGAGCCCTGCGCCCTGCTGGCGGCAGAAGGCTGGATGCACAGTCCCCACTGCATCGCGGGCCCCGTGCTGCTCCTCCACACCACCCGAGGCCGGGGTGCAGCAGTGTGACTGGCCTGGCCGCAGGATGGAAGTCTCCTCCCTGCTGTGCCAAATGCCTCCCGTGCAGCCCGGGGCCAGTGGCTCCAGCAGTGGCAGCTCCAAACAGCATCTTTCCAGCCGGTTTGTTGAGCCTCCAAAACACCGGCTGCTTTTGGGGCTGCGTGGAAGACCGACCATCACGCACCCGGCAGCGCTGCTGGACCCAGCACAAAGGATGCTGAAGCCTTTGCTCAGCACAGCCCATGGCACAGGATCAAAGCACAACGTGGCTGTGCCACTCAGGAGCCCATTCCCACCCCCAGCAAGACCTGAGGCACCACAAAGTAGCCACAGACCCTCTCATAGGGAAGCCACCGCTTCCTGTCACCAAAAGCTGTTCTGGTTGTGGTTGGGGACCAAGCAGCCTCAGCGGATGTGGTAGCTTATTCATCGAGCTCTAGAAAGTGAGTTTTACTTCCACCTTTACTTTGAGGAGTAGCAGGACATGAGGCATAGAGAAACCTAGAGCAAAGGAAACTGTTTGGGAACTTGTCCCTGCACACTGAGCCAGTTAAGCACACCCCTGAAGAAGCGCACCAGTTCCTGCAGCCAACCAGCACGATGTGCAGACACACTGGAATTCTCAGCCCCAGGATCGTGTGCTCACGTGCGACACAAAGGAGCCAACTCTTTTGCAGAGGGGGAAAATCAGGATAGAGCAGACCCCATCCAACAGAGAACCACCTTACCTGCAGCGGAGTGTGGCCTCAGTTGTTTGTAGCAGCCACGAAAGCAATCTGTGCATCAACACAGTGGCTGTGCCTGGCTGAACATGAGACCATGACCAGGGCAAACATCAGTGCCACAGCTAATAAGCTGGCTTCTAATTAGCCCCAGCTTTGCAGCCTGGAGCATCTTGAGGAGGGAGAGAGCAAAGCTCTTTCCAAGCCAACCTGGGCAGCCCCCACCAGCACCATCAGCGATCTGCAACTGCAGTGGTTTGAGCTGGGTTTATTTACTGTTGGCACTGCCGGCTTCCCCCAGGAGAGCACGGCAGTGTTCGTGGATGTGAAACTCGCTGATCAATGCACAACATGACACATAACACACGGCGGTGCCGCTGCTGCTGCTGCTGTCAGGACCTGTCCCTCTCAGCTTGCAGCAGGCCTGCAGAACAGCACCCACATCTGATGGACAAGGGCTGCCAGCACCCCCGTCCTGGCTGCAGGATGGTGAGGGACAGCACACAGAGAGCCACCCCAGCAGGAAACATTCGGGATCCACATCTCGCTTGTGGCAAGTCTTTTCCCCCTTTAAACCCCCCAGTCCCTGAGCAGCGTTTCAGTGGCTCTGTCCAGGGCAGGCAGCCATTCTCACAGGAAGCAGGCCAGAGCGCACACCTCATACATTCATTTGCCTTTTAGACACTACCAGCTTGTGACTTTGTCAGCCACAAGCCCCACTGGTGTGCCTGGCACAGCTCTGCAAGCACAACTCAGAGCTGAGAGAAGCCCAGGTCAGGCTAGCGCATTGCACAAGCCCACACGGTTACTGCCTCACCACACACTTCCCACCAGGAGCCTGCTGCAGAGGCTCTCCCTGGTGCCAGCTCCAGCCTCAGCTGGCCCCTGTGGGGCAGAAGAAGTGCAGACCAGGCAAGATTTCCCCCGGCTGGGCCCTTGCAGGGCAGAGTACAAACCCAGCCCACAGTCTGTCCTTTTGTGGGTGAATGGTGGGTCAGGATGTGCATTCGCCTCCTTTGGGTCAGAACTGCCATCTACACCAGGTCCTGGTCGCAGGAGGGTTTGCAGTCACTGATGGGACTCACTCTGCTCGGCAGATGAACCAGATCTCGTTGCGGCGCTGGGGGATGCTGGGATTTTCATAAGCAGCCACGATGTAGGTTTCCTGGAGCACAGCGTCTGTGGAGCCCAGGAGCTCCCAGAAAAGGCTGATCTCTCGCAGAATCGTCTCCTCAGTGGTCATCCCATAGAAAACCCTGCAGCAAAGGGAGGGGCGTAAGCAACAGACCTAGCACATTCTCCCTTCCCTCAGTCAGGGCTCCCCATCCCTCTGCCCGAGGAACCACAGCAACCCCGCAGGGAGTTCATACACCTCTGCGGTGGGGTCACCTGGTTATAACCCGGAGCGGTGCCCTCTCGGTGATGTGGATTTCAGGGTCCATGGGAACAGGGGGGTTTTGCTGGAACTCTCCCGGGATATAATAGGCAGTTACAACCTCACGCTCCAGCTCAGTCCCTTCCTTGGTCAGGTGGATTTCGTTGAGCACTGGGACTGTCATGCCCAGATGGCAGCCTGGAAGGAGGCAGGAAGGCAGTGGGCACAGTGAGCTGGCTGTGTCAACGGCAGCAGCCCTCCTCTGTGCAGCCTGCCAGCCCCCTCCAGCCACTGCCTACACACACCTACAGAGTTCTCCTTGCAGATGTAGCGCATGAGCTTCATGAAGCTCATGGAGATGCTCTGCTCATACAAGGGCTCCCCCTTGGTGACACAGGCCCACTTCCCAGCTGGGTACCGCCGCTCCTCGAAGGCTGCTTCCTCGCACTGAAACAGGCCACAGACAAGCCAAGTCAGAGTTACGTACACTGACAACACTGCAGCACGTGGGAGCAAGAACCAACACTGATAGGCAGGAAGTGGGAAGACAAGACCCTGTCAAAATGAGCTCCCTGCTAGGCAGTGGTTGGCAGGGGAGGCCGGAGAAAGTGAGGGGAACTGGCACTACACACACCTCAGACAAGGACACTTCACAGCACCGGGCAGAAGTCAGTCAAAGGAAAAGCACAGACAGCGGGCAGGATGCAGGGATGCTTGGAGGCTCCTAGCATGCACAAGGAATGAAGCACATCTTCAGCAAGGGGCACAGGACTTTCCGCTCCTCTCCAGTCACTGTCTTGCCTACTCACAAGGATTTTCCTGAGCCCAGGCACTCAAAGGCCTCCAGTGGGGTTGACATTATCCTCAGGTACAGCGCCGTTTCCCTGGAGTATGGTGTGGGCAGAGGATAACAAGCATAAAGCTTCCTGCCCAGTAGCAGGGAAAGTCTGGCAGAAGAGCTCTAGCACCCAGAAGAACTGTGAAGGCTGGAACAAAACTCGTCTCAGATCCTCCTCCCACACCAAGAAGCGACAGGAGAAAGAGGCATGAATCCAGCTTTGTGCATGGGTCAGAATCTCTATGTCCAGCACAGACACCCAGTCTTCGGGATGAATCCAACACAGAAGCGGGGCAGGGGGAGTGGGGGAAAACTGCACCTGGATCTGCTATAGGTTCAAGCTCACGCCATGGTTATAACCACTAAGGAGGGGCTGGGAAGGCATAGCCAGCACCCATCTTCCTGCTCTCAGCTTGTCCTTCAGCCAGATTAAAGCAGTCACGAGGCAACCTTCTTCCACAGGGCTCCTCTCCAAACCTCTGTGTTCCACAGCTGTGCAGGGAGGGACCACGCCAGGAAGTTGTGACCATCCTCAGCACTGAGTGCAGCCTCCCTCTGCTTCCACCCGAAGCAGGTCTCTGCTCAGAAAGCCAAACCAAAGGCATAAGGAAGACACCTGGGCTGCTCATGTGCATCAGGGGTGCCAAGAATAGTGCCAGACTACTGCAGGCAAGCCAGTCTTCACCCCATAGGTGGGGCCATGCCTGCTGTTGTCCCACCAAGCAAAGCAGAGCAAGAGCCTTTCCAAAGCAAGGAAACCAGCAGTCCCTCTAGACTCTTTGTGACTCTCACCTGCCACACCATCTGTGAATAAACCCATCAGCCCAGCAAGCAGTCCAGTCCTTCCACAGACCGATCCTTACATTGAACACCACCACTCCACAAGATGAGACTTAACCAAGAGAAAGATGCTCCACACAGACCCAGTGGCAGCGGGTCCCTGCAATGTGAGCTGGGGAGTTTGGGTGAGTACTGACAGAGCAAGGCTCTGCAGATGCCTCCAGAAGGATGAGGGCCTGTGGCACTGACAGCTGAGGGAGGAGCAACCAAGTAAAACTGACCTGCCTGAGCCTGGGGAACACATCCTTAAGGTCCCCAACTCCAGAGTCTCCTCAGCACTAATGCCTGGAAGTGGCTTCCATCTCCTCACCCAGCCCCGCAGTCAAACTCCAAGAACCTTCCTCACGCACGGAGAGGATGTCACCATCAATGGAAGATCTTCAGGCCCCACAGTTGTGGGGTAAAAGTAGAGAAGGGCTCAGACTAAGTCCCTGAGACCCAGACGAGCAGGGGAAGAGGGAGTGCGGTGGAGCCCCAGTTCAGAGCTGTACAACCCACATGCTCAGGCGTGTTTTACAGGCAGGAGTGCTGGACCTCAGGCCAGAAGAAACTGGTTAAGCTCTCCTCGTGTACAGGACAGTTGACAAATGTCTTCTTGGTAGCTAGCCCAACCAAGCCTGCAGAGACACATGAACCAGTCTGACGAGTGCTTCTTCACAGCTATTGCGCAAGGCTCAGAAGCACCCTTTTGTGTGAGGGATAACAGGAGGTGTGCAACGTAGCCAGCAAGAACAGGAGGTCTTCAAGCAGAAGCTACCGTGTTTGGCTTGGCAGCTGTGGCAAACACCAGCACATGCTCAGGTCTGACAGCTCCCCACAGGAGCACCCTCCAGCTAAACAGGTAGCCAGGGAACTAGCACAGAGGGCTTGGAACTACGCAGGGCTTTGAACAAGGCAGGGCACAAGACTCCAAACTGCAAATTCACTGTCTTGGATGCGTCCACCCCAGCAGGGAATAAATGAGGAGAGAATAAATGAGGATAAATGAGAGAGCAGCAAGACTAGTCCGATTCTAAAGTAAAGGCTGGAAAGTTCAAAGAGCCACAGACTGGTTTGGGTTGGAAGAGACCGTAAAGCTCATCCAGTTCCAACCCCCTGCCACAGGCAGGGACACCTTCCACTAGAGCAGCTTGCTCCGAGCCCCTGTGTCCAACCTGGCCTTGGGCACTTCCAGCTCCTGCTGCTGCCCAGGCTGGCGGCAGCACCGGCACCGGCCTCCCCGCGGGCCAGGCCCGGCTGCGGGCAGGAGCGGGCCTCACCTCCTCCCGCCGCGGCAGGGTAACGTAGGGCACGGGCTCTCGAGCCTGGCCGTGCCGGGTCATCTGCACGATCGGCCCCGCCATGTCTGCAAGGCAAAGCACAGAGGGGCCGCGGCTCGCCCGGGCTGGAGAGCACGGGGACAGCCCCACGGCGCACGGTGCCAGGCGCGGGACGTGCCGCCGGCCCCGAGGCCGCCTCGCAGGCCGCTGTCACCCGCGGCAGGGCCCGCGCTCACCTCGGGGCAGGGTCACTCGGTGCGTGCTGGCTACGGCCTCCCAGTGCGCGAACAGCCGCTCCCGCTCCTCCTCCTCTTCCTCCTCGTCGTCCCCGTTCCCGTCCCCATCGCCGGCCTCCTCGCCCAGCCCCTCCAGGTCCTCCAGCGTGATGCGCGCCATCACCCCCCACCCTTCCCGCGCCCGCCAGCACCCCGCCCCCGCCTGCGTCACCGCTGCCGTCACCCACACGCCCCTCCCCTCCCGCCCTGCCGCGGTTCTGCCGGCAGGGGGCCCCCTCCTGCCCCTGTGTCCCGTCTCCCCCCCCGCAGTGCCGGAGCCGCGGTCGGTTCTGGGGTCGGTTTTATTTGATCAGCTCCCGCACAGCTTGGCCCCGCGCCCGCACCGCTCCCGCACACCCCTTCCCCGGTACCACCGGGGCCTCCGGCGGGGCAGGGCCTGCGCAGGCCCGCGACACTTCCGCCCAAGCCGCCTGCGAGCGCGCCCCCTGCCGGCGGTGCCGCACAGAGCATGCGTGCGGGCGGCGGAGCGGGGCCGGGAGCGGGGAGCGGAGCGCGGCGGGCTCGGCGCTCAGTTGGAGGAGAGCAGGGAGCTGTGGGAGGACAGGTCCGTGCTGCTGGCGCTCAGGCCCCTGCTCTCTGCACGGAGCCCCGGGGTGCCCTGCAAAACACAGCGCCTGTGAGCACCGGCACCCGCAACCCGCGCCCGCAAGCTGACAGCCCCCACCAGCCACACTAAGGGACACCGCTGCCCCTCCCGCTCCCGCTCCGAGCTGGTCGAGCTCGGTAAGCAGGAAGGTGGCTCCATGGAGGCAACACCTCCGGTATGGAGCCACGGCAGCTGCCCGGGGGCTGCAGTGCGGGCTCAGCCCCGCCATGGGAAGGCAGAGAGGCTCCAGCTCCACACACTGCTGCAGGGATGAATGCCTTCTGAGGGGCTCCAGGCACCAGACATGGGGCCACCCCCAGCCCACACCCCCCCTTCCTGCTCCAGCCCCACCACGCACAGGGTGCTTACCTCAAATGAAGCATCGCTAGACTTGTGCAGGTAATTTAGTGATGCAGCTCTCTTCATGCTACAAGAAAGCAGAGGAGAGCAGGCGTGTTCTTGCTGTGCCTGTCCAGACCCCGACCCCGTTTCAGGGCAGCCCCCCCCATCTGCCCTGCATCCAGCCTGGCCCTCGTATCCCTGGTCCTTACCTGGTGTTCCTGGGCTCCAGGGGACCATTGCCCTGCAGTTTCTTAACCAACATCTCACTGCTCCTCCGGATCACATCCCGGATTTTCCCCAGAGAGCTGCTGCGCTGGAGGGTGCCACTGCCATCCTGGACACAGAGACACAAGCCGGGGTGATGGCTGAGTGGCACTGATCGGGCTCCAGCATGCTGCAGCTGAGTGGCCAGGAACTGGGCTCGGCTCCAAACGCCCTCTTGCATTTTTACCTGGCCCAGAGCAAGCTCACTGCTCCCTACCTGGCTCCCACCCCCTCCTCTGGCTCTCCATAGGACATGATGACCATTAAGTCAAGGACATCCCCATCCCACAGCCTGGCTCATCCAGACTGACCCTCCCTCCTGCCTGGTGCAAGCTCAACACCCAACCAAGCTGTTGACCTGCACCAGCACAAACGGGACTGGCATCCCCAGAGCCTGGCTCAAACACACCACAGCTTTACCACATGCCAGGCCTGCAGGCTCACTCACATCAGACAAGACCCACATGCATACACAGCCTTGTCCCACTTCTAACACCCCCAAGATGATTCACTCTGAGCCTGCTGAGCAATTCAGGCAGCTCCATCTGGGATGCATTCATGTGGCTGCACAGACACTGCGTTGCCAAGCAGGTACCGCTCTCTTCAACACCCCAACTTCAGCTGTGCCTGGCCCCACTGGCTGCCCCAGAGTGGCACTTTGCAGGGTTCTTTATGGCTCCCTGCTTCTTCTAAAGACCAAAACCTAAATCTTGCTCCCCAGCCTGTTTCCTCCCCCACATCCCCAAAAATCTCCCCTACTCAGAAAGGCACTCTCAGCCCCTGGCAGACTCTAGCCCATCTCCCACATTTAGTTCTACGTGCATGCACAGCACAGGCTGCCAGGATAACACCACCTCATGCCACTGTGCCCATGACACCAAGCTCTTCCCCTGTGACCAGGCATGCTCATTACGCAAGGCTATAACTACTGCTGATGTGGTTACTTTTGTTCTGATGGCCCAGTAACAGCAATGCTCCCTGCCCCTGATCCCAGTGGCTCCTGGCACATCAGGGCAGAAAAAGAAGAGATAACGTGATCACAAAAGCTCTTTGCTCCTTAGAAGGAGGAGTGGGAGCCCCTTTGTACTGCTCCAAATGACCAAAATGCCCTGTGGGCCAGGCTGGCATCAGCAGTTGCATCAGGACTGCCCATGCAGCGCTGCAGGTAAGCATATTGTCTGCCTTAGGCCAGTCACTCCTTTGTCCTGAACCCCTGCAGGTTGGGGCTCTGGGGAAGGCTTTTCCAACACTGCCCCACTCCAATTACCCAAAGCCAATCCAGCCCTAGACCCCACTTCAACAGCTGAATAGGACTTTTCCTACCAACAACCCTTTTTCCCAGTATTCATCTCATCCCTCCTTGGATAAGCCAAATGCATTGAACCTCTTCACTTTCTCATGAGGATGAGGGGTTTCCAGATTGGGAGCCATGTGCTGTTGCTGCAAGTGACCCCCTCACCAGGAATGCAGAGAGCACCAAAGTATGAGCAAGGAAGATAATTCAGCTCCTGCCCCAGGCATCATGGTACATGGCACCAGCAGAGACAGGGGTGCGATGTCTTCTGCTTCCCCAGCACACTTACACCAAGCCACCAGGGTACTGCCATACCAGGCACTGTTCTTGCCAGGGCATGCAAGCCAGGGACTGAGAAGGGCACAGAGCAGGGGCAGGGGAGTGGGACCATGGTACAAGGGCAGCAGGATCCAGCTGGAAAGTCTTGCTCTGGGGTCAGGGACATTTCCCCAGCTGCAGCAATGCAGACTGACTGCAGACCAATGCCAGAACCAAACACTGGTGGATGCTGGGTTAAAAATAGCCTCCCTCCTCTCCCTACTCCCTTTGCTGCAGGGTTATTTTTAAGCCAGAACATGTATGGGGCTTGGTTTACTGCAGAGCCTCTACCCCACTGCTCCCACCAGGATGAGAGCACTCAAAGAAGCAACTCCACTACTGAGCCACTCTCCATTGCGTGCTCCCACACCGACTGCTGCACAGAGAGCAGAGGATTCGGGCAGCATGCAGAGATCAGCAATGGGGGCTTGCTCTCTCTAATGGAAACACTGGTTGAGGAAGGCCTAAAAGCTCGGATGCTCCAGGGCAGCCCTGTCACACACTGCTACAGAGCTGGGGTCAGCAGCAACCCCAGGTGGGATGTTAGGGAGAGGCACAGTGGGGTTGGGTCCCTCATCCCTTGCAGAGGTGCCCAGCCCCTGCAGCCACACCGGCACCAAGCAGCCCCACACCGGCTCCAGCAGCGCTTGCACCCGCCACCCCAAGGCTGACCGGAGCTGGCTTACACAGCATGGAAAGAAGCACAGGGCAGCGGTTCGGGTCTGTCTGCCTTTAATCAGAGGTACGGTTGTTACAGCACCGGGTCCAGCACAGGGCAAAGCACACACAGGCCTGAACGCACCCTGTGCTGGGGACTCACTGCTCCCCAGAGCATGGAGCAGCGCTGGGAGAGAGGCAGGGGAGGCACAGCCCAGAGCACTCAGCCCTGGGCTCTGCACTCCATAGGCATGGGGACAAAGCTCCTGGCAGCAAGCACAAGCTCCCAGGGCAGCAGGATGCACATGCCCCAAGGCCTCTGCACCCCCCCCCAGGGAAAGCCAGGCCCAGGCAGACACAAGCACATTTTAGTATCAAAACCTGCCAGATGATAGCACAAGACAAACTAGCTAGCTAAATAAATAAATGGGCTCCTGCGCTGGCCTCCGGGCTCCATCCTGCTGGCTGCAGCCTCCCCAGCTTCCTTCACAGGTAGAAGGGCCAGGGTTCACATCCCATAGGAGGTGGGATGAGGCGCAAGGCCCCGGGAAACTTCCCCCTTCCCAGTAGTGACTGACTGCACCAGACCCTGTGCAGGTCTGGAGTCCCATCGGAGGCACTGAGCCACCCCCATGCACGACCAGGGTGAGCATTGCCTTCCTAGCTCCTTCCATGATTAACCTGCTCCTTCTCCTCCTGTGGAAACCTCCCTCAAACCATCCCATCTGCCTCCACATCCTCAGAGCACTCCAAGCCCCAACTCTTCCTTTCCTCACATCCTTCTTTGCACATTTTTCTCCCAACCACTGCTCCAAACCATCCCATTCCCTGTATCAACCACTTCGAACAGAGTGGGGCCTGGCCTCTGCAGAAAAGCTCTGCTTTCCTCCTGCCCTTCCTCTGCCTGCATGGAAGAGTGAACAGATTCACCTCACCTCTCAAGCAACCATGCCTGGGGACCCTGGAGCAAGGGGGAGCCGATCCACCCCTTAATGCCACCAGGAATTAGGCCACAGCACTAGGTCAGGAGGTTGCCTCCAAACATGCTCATCCTGGCAAGTCCCTGCTTCATGCATGGCCCTTAGCTGTCACCCCCTCACCTTGTCTTGGATGTACAGTAGCTACAGGCCACCCTATGTCCCCGTGGCCCCACAGAGGCCAACATGCTGCCACTAGATCACAGAGCTCAGCAGGGAGGGGGAAGCAAGACAGGGACTGCCCTACGCTGCAGGGAGAGCCCAGCTCACCAGTGGCCAGCGCAGGTTTGCTACAGGGAACTAACATCAGCTAAGCCTACAGGGAAGAAAGCAACTGGGCACATGACAGCCCTGCCAAGGCCAGGCCTCCCTGCCCCACAAGGGCTCCCCATCTTCATGCCTCGCTCCTGGCTTCTGCAGAGATGGAGGGAACAAGCTAGGAGGGCTGAGGATGGCTAATGATAGCAGAGTCGGAATGCCTGGAGCGAAGAGGATCCCCTGCAGGCCTGGTCCCCAGCGATGCACAAGGGCAGGCTGGGGTTGGGGGGACACGAGGGGACGGTGCCCGTCGCCCTGGCCTAGGGGAGCAGGCAGCTCCGTGCAGCTTCTTCCTGCTCTTGCTGGCCATGGGGCTGGCGCTGGCCAGGACCTCACTCCTTGCAGGCGTGGCGGTGCCCTCGCGCGCCGGGAGGGTTGGGGGGCTGGCGTGGAGTCCTTGCCGAGGAAGGAGGGATGGTGTGGAGGAAAGGTCGGAAGATACAACACAAACATCCAGGTGATTGCGGTGGAGGGGAAAGAGGGAGTCTCGGGAGGCATTTAAGCCTAGTGCACAGAGAGGAGAAAGACACAATTGACAAGGCCGTGAGGTTGTAGGTGCTGGTGAGGAGCAGGGCCCAGGCTGCATGCAGAGATGGGGCCATGTCTGGGCAGGGTGGGAGCCCTGTAAGGCTCAGTCAGTGGGCTCACATGGAGCAGGCTGGCAGAACAGCCAGCTTCAGGAGGAGCAGCCTGGGCCTCCTGCCCGGCAGGGTCCCTGCTCCTGGGCCATGGGCATGGCGTGCCTGCCAAGGCCTCAGCACCACTGAGCTGGCGCCATCCTGGCTCTCCCAGTTCCCTGGGCAGCATACAGCTGGGCCAGGCCTTGGGGTGCTCCAGGGCTCCCCTTGGCAGCAGCGCACAGAGGTTGATGGCTCCCTGGGGACTCCCATGGCTCTGCCTGCAGCAGCTGACAGCTAAAGGATGGCAGCAGAGCCTGCCTGGAGGCAGCACATCCAAAGGCTCTAGACTGCTACAGGGAACAACTGGCCATGACAGACAGGAGCAGCGGGAGCTGCCTCAGCCTCCAGAGCAGGGCTGCTGGCTTGGGAGAGGAGGCTGGCTGTGTGTGCAGCTTCATGTGGCAGCAGCTGTGTCCCCCAGGGTGCTGGGCCAGTCCTCAAACCCGCTATCTACAGCTGGCTGGGCCATGGGAAGGGTCATACGAGCAAGAACTAGCCCATTGGCTGGGTCAGGCATTGCCTGCTTGCCTTGGGGTGATCAGCTCAGAGACTGGAAGGTTTCCCAGACTATCACTAGTGCAGTGATCACCGCACACCAACCACAGCCAGGAGGAACTGTGGAGGCACACCAGCCAGGACAGGGACCAGCTGATCCTAACCCAAACCTGCAGCCCTCCCTCTGTGCTTGCCTGGCGCCTCTATGAACCGGGGAGCACAAGGGCCCAAGGTTGGTGCCTCTGCACGTCTATGCCCCTCCTCACTCCTGATACCAAGAGCTGGAGCAGAGGACAGTACTTCATCTGGCAGGGCTGCTGGGGCCTCTCAAAGCTCTGCTCCCCAAGCCCCCTTGAGTCATCTCCAGGGTACAATCCACAATCAAGAGAGCCAGCAGGCTTCAGGCTTGGACGTTGAGGGGCTGTCATGGCAACGGGGAAGAGGAAGGAGGAAGAAAGGGAGCTCATGCGGTGGAGATAGAGTGGAGCCAGGTGGGGAAGGGTTAGTGACAGCAGATGTGAGGGAGGAGCAAAGGACTCCATGTGCTCAGTGTGTTGCCTGTGCCAAGCTACAACCACCCCTGGGTACACCCAGCTACACTATGTTCTCTGCTAAAGTTTGCAGGAGGAATTCTAAGCGTTAACTAGCATCGAGCCAAGCACCCACTAGCACCATGCTCACTTTCCACCTCTTTTCCATCCTCCTCATTGCAGAATACAAAAGGCACCCATCACAGATCTGGACCCCTATCACTGTCCATCAGCACTAGTGACCAAAGTGCCACTCTGTCTCAGAGCAAGCCTAGACAGGCTCAGGTTGCTTTATCTCTGCCTCAGCTAACACCAGCTTCTTTTGCCACCACTGGTCAGCCTGGTCTAGCATCCCAAAGACCTGCCTTTTACCACCTCTGCTTGGCCAGAGCCTACGGGGGGCATGAGACCCAGAGAGGGGGGACGACAAAGACACTGGCTGCAGACTATGACCATGCCCTGCAGTCACTCAGTCACAAACACACCAGACACACACCCCCAAAGCCCTCCCCAGCCTCAGCATTGCCTGGGTGCAGTGCAGGACAGAACAGCCACACTGCCCACAGAGGTCTGTGGGCCTGAGGTGCATCCGATGCTCTCAGCCAGGGCCTCAAGAGGGGAGCAGCAGAGAGAGATGTTAATAAGGTTGCAAGGCTGCAAGGCTAAGATTAAGGGCAGACCAGGACCAGCTCATGCTGTGCATTGCCAGGGCCTAATAGCCTCCTGGAAGCAGGAACCCTAGTTGAGGATATCCACCAAAAGGGATACACCAAAAGCCAGGCCCAGGCACAAACCTTTGCAGGCTGGCTGGCTCATGCCAAGAAAGAGGGGAAGGAAGTGTGCAGGGTACAAATGGAGGCAGACAAGGATGCCACGACAGGCCACATGGGGACAGCCCTGAGGCAGGCAGTCCCTTCCCTCTGGCAGCCAGCTGAGGCCATTCTTGATGGTGTCTTGTACTTACCCCGCTCCATTCCACGCCCATACTCACTTCCTCGCTACCGTCTGTGGCATTCTCATACTTGACGCTGCCCCCCAGGCTCCGACGTCTCTCTGTGCCATCGCCCTCCTTCAGGATCTCCACCACCTTTGTCTGGTTGATTGGGTCAATGCCCTGCGAGGAGAAAGGGATAAGGAAGCACCACGTTTTGCCCTTCTGTGTTCCTTCCCTCTAGCGATCTGTGTCATCACTGTGCTTGGTCCCATCCTCTCTTTTGGGCACTGCCCCCTCATAGCCAAAACTCTCCAGCACAAGAAGAACGGAGCCAAGTGTGCCCCCCAGCACTTAGAGCCTATCAGGGTTCCCAGCTCAGCAAGCCCCACCAAACCGTAACTGTTATGGGGGACAAGGTTTTGCTACCCTAAAGCCAACAGCTTTTTTTCCTTCACCTTTGTGAAGGTTTCTGTTATTCTTCAGTCTTTGTTTACAGTTCCTGCTCTATTATCTGAGGACAGGGAGCAGTTTAGGGTAAGAGGTACTCTAAGAAATCCCTACTGTGTTTCCCTGGGGGAAAAAAAAAGAAAAGGTGGGAAGATCCCATTGGGAACAGATGCCCTCAGTAGCTGAAAAAGCCTAGTTCCCTGCACTAACCTGGCTGCAGCACTTCCGCACTCAAAGAGCCAGACCTTCTTCCCAACATGGACACACACACACACTGACAACCTGCTCCATCCACGTGCATACTGCACAGCCCCACACGTGCACAGATGCAACCCCAGGGTTAACCACCAAGATGCTCTGGTGTTGCGGGACCATAAACCGAGGGTGTCAGAGGCTGCAAGGCCCAGAGAGGCCCTCCCAGCACACCCAAGGCACAGGCAGGGCCATGCAGTTGCCCCATCCCGCAGTGCTCCCTGCCCCAGGGAGGATCCCTGCAGGGTTACCTGCCGCCGGGACCGAACCGCGCACTCCTCCAAGGTCTCTGCCGCCTCCAGCTTGCCCTGGCGCCGGTACAGTGCACCCAGGTTCCTCAGTGTGGTGTTCACCGTGGGGCTGCAGGGATGGAAGGTGAGCAGGGGTGAGGCCTGCTCTCTGCAGAGCCCACAGCTGCCCATGAGCCACCTCTTACCTGCTGACCTTACAGGCCTTGTACCAACCGCCGTACTCAGCATAGGGAGCGCTGTCTCTGTGCTTGCTCTGCGGGGTGAAGAGAGAGGAAAGCTGTTAGCCCCATGCCTACTGCCTTCTCTGGCCTTTGCCAGGGTCAGACCCTTGGCTGCACCCCCGCACCAGCACAGCCTTTGGAAACACAATATGCAAAGGCAGTGATGAAGCCCAGCAGGTTCCTGGAGGGAAAGCTGAAAGCCCATTTGATGCAACAGATCTGGGGCACAAATAGAAGTGATGTCCCCACCCCAGCAAGGAGCATAATCCCATGTTCTTTCCCCTTCCATAGTACCAAAGGCAGCAGGGACAACACAGCCTATCCTCATGGTGCTCTGGAGCATGTAACATCCTACCCATCATAGATAAGAGACCAAAAAGAAGCCACCCCAACCAACAAAACAAATCCCTGTACATGCCACACAGCAAGGGCACTAATGCCCTCAGACACAGCTAGCAATGGAGTCAGCCAGCCACATCCACTCCCAGCAGCCCTGCCCATGAGCTGTTGTCTCCTCTCCATGCCCAGTCACTGCACCCCAAAACTGGCTGGCCCTACCACAGCCAGGAACAAAGAGGCTGCTGGACAGAGCAACAGGAGACGGGGCAGAGCGTGATGGTCAAGGCAGAAGATCCATAAGGACAACCTACTCTGAAGGATGGTAGCTGCCAACCAGTATTGCCCTGGGCCAGTAGCCACCATGGCAGCTGCAGGCAGGAAGTGCCTCTGCTGCAGGAGCAGGGCTCCTGTGCACCCTGGTGTGTGGTGAGCAGTGGCTCCACAGCAGGAGATTCCCTCTGGCAAGGGCTCTAGCCCATAAGAAATGGTCTTCACAGGGACTATTCTTCTCATCAGTCCCATAGGCTTCTTAGATCTTTACCCCACGTAGTGGAGTCTCCCTGAGCCACAGGCACACATGGGCTTCCTTGCACCAGAGCCTACACAGCCTGGGCATGCCCCATGGACAGGAGAGCTCAGGATTCAAAACACCTCTGAAGCTGCAGAGGGTGTTCAGCACCAAGAGGGTGGCTGAACCCACGGGGAAGAAAAGAAGTGAAGCTCTGCAAGAGGGGTTTGATGATATTTTTAATAGGAGATGCAGAATCACAGCACAAAGCAGAGCGCAGCAGCCCCAGCCCCTGGGCCAGCAGGACAAATAGGTCTGTGGTCACTGCTGCCTGGCCAGGAAGGCTATGCCAGCTGTGTTGTGCCACTGGGCATGGGAACAGTTGCACTAGGGATAGGCAAAGCAGCTCAGCCCTTGCCCCAGGGTGTAAAACAAATCTCAGTGTAGGTTCCCGAGCCTGTTCACTTGCCCTGTAGCAAAGCTCACATAATCTGGAGCACAGCCCCACACTTTTGACCTTAATTCTCCAAAGACCTCACCAGGAGTGAGGCAGTCCCAGAGGGGGAAGGGAAGCCTGGTCTCTGCGCCAACTTTGATTTCACCTGCACGGGATGTGGCAGCGAGTGTGACTTCTTTACAGCAGAGCCTTCTTCACAGGGCAGGAACAGGAGCAGTGCAAGGTGGAGCTGAGCACTGCCCTGCACTGGGGACTGCACAGAGCAGTTCAATGGGAAGACACAGCATGCTGCTGGGAGGCAGGTACTAGAGCCCTGCTCGTAAGTACTCGCAGGATGGGACTGGTAAGTCACTAAGCCAAGCCTGGAGCCTGCTTGTCTGAGCCCACGCAGGGATGGAGCCTGCTCTGAGGGCAAAGGAAAAGGAAGGACAGCGTCTGCTTCCCCTGCAGCTAGATGACTATACCAGAGCTCTTCGTTCTGCTGCTTCACCCACCTGCCAAAAAGCAGGAGAGCTTTTAGGGTTGGGAAACGCAGAGAGAGGGCTCTGCCGCATTACCAGCTGAGCGGAGAGCAGGGCCTGAACAACAGGAAGAAGTGTCTTTGTCTCTCAGCTCAGTCCAAGGCAAGCACAACCTATGCCTATCCTTTTTCAGCTGCCAGCTAGGATACAGAACAGATAGAGCCCACCCTGTGCAAAGATCTGTCTTGGAGGTTTGGCTCTGTTTCCTAAGCAAGTTGACAGCAGCAGTTTCTTCTTGACCTCCGCATTTCCCCAGGCAGCCTTAGGGCTGCTGCTTCAGAAGTAGGTTGTGCTCTGGGTACTAGCAGCTCTTTGGAACTGAGTGCCAAGGCTCTGCAGCACAACCCTCTGCCATCTGCCATCTTCCATCATCTGCATGCCCTAGAGGGATCACTGAAGCAAAAAGAGAGAGCATGCAGCCATGGTTTGAGAGGCTGAACAACCCCCTGCCCAAGGAAAAGCATCAAGCACTCCAATGGGCCTTCCCTCCCTGCTACCCCAAGGAGCAGCCACACTCTCTCTCTCCACTCTCCAGACTCCTCCTAGCCTTCATCAGTGGCCATGGTAGCTCTTCAGACTGCAGGAAGGAGGCTGTGGCTGTTAAAAAGAGGATCCAAACCCCTGTGCCTCCTTCCCCTCCCAGGGTTCTTGCTGCTATCCACAGCATCACTCACCTTGCTCATCTCCTCTCTCTCCTCTGCGTGCATCCAGATTGGTTTGTGTTCATCTGTGTGGGGAAGAATGCAAGACAACTCTGCTCACCACCTCACCCTGGTCCTCTGCCATTTCCAATGGGGCTCTGCCTCCTACACAGCCAAGCACTCTGTCCCCAGAGCAAGCAGCTCACGAGAGGGAAGTGACAAGGCTTCCAGATCCCCAAGCCCCAAGAAAGGCAACCAGCATCGCAAGGGCAGGACAGAGAACGGAACAAACTAGTCCTCCCACAGGGATGAAGAGCAGCATAACACACTAGAATAGCAGTGTCCCAAGGGCTGCCCAAAGCAGAGGCCCTACAAAGCATCCCATCCCTCTGCCAGGAGAATGCCAGACCCAACCAAGCCTAGGCTGAGAGCCAGGAGCCCAAACTGCCCACCCTTCCCCAGCCCCATGAGCTTCTGCTGTACAAACCATCCACAGAGCCAAACTCCTTCACATGAGCACGGGTGAGGATCTCCTTATACAGCACCTCTGCATCTCTGTATTTGCCTTGCTTCAGGTAACAGGAGGCCTGTAACCAAGAGAACAGCTCCAGGCCCACTGGGCAACACAGATTAACTCTGCCCCCCCTTGCAGCTATCTCTCTGTATCTTCCAAGCACCAGGCCATGTTCACCTTCCCCATGGCAACACTCCTCATCCCCACACAGCCTCTCCCCAAGGGTATTACCAGGTTGTTCTTGGTCTTGGCCACGTTGGGGTCATCAGGACCCAGGCAGCTCTCATAGATCTCCAGAGCCCTGCAGTAATAGTACTCCACCTCATCGTACTTGCCCTGGTTCTGGCACAGCAGGGCTAGATTGTTCAGCTGCTTGGCCACATCAGGATGGTCTTTGCCTAGGACCTGGGTAAAGAAAATAAGAGAAGCCACAAAAAGTCAGCATTTAAAGACTGCAGTGGACTCCTGGAGCTAACAGACACTGTAGTCTCTTCCACAACATGCCTAAGTCAGACAGAACCCAAGGACTAAAGAGGTAAACAGGAGAAATTGCAGCTTCCACCTCCTGGCAGGCCTCTTTAAGGCTGCAAACACTGGAGAGACAGGAAAGGTGGTGGTAAAGTCAGCGGATGAAGAGACTAGATCTCCAAGGTGCAGTGAGGTAATGGGGGAAAACCCTTAGGGAGAGCTGGAAGAAAGGAAGAACGTGGGAGACCAGTACCTACCTTCTCACGGATCTCCAGGGCTCGCTTACACAGGGGCTCTGCTTCTTTGTACTTCCCTCTCTTGCCGTAGAGAACAGCCAGGTTGTTCAAAGTTGCTGCCACCTGCAGGGACACAAGCTTCTCCATGAAACAGAGCAGAATCCAGCAGGATCAAACAAGGGGTGTGAGCAACAGTATCATGGCAGTCCCATTTCCTTCATGCCTGCAAGACAGCTGCTTTTGAAGACAAGAAGGTTCAGAGGCAGAAGGCTACCCTGCCTACAGTGCAGGATCCAGGAGAAACCAGCCTCTGACAGGCCATTCTGAACAAGACAGCAACTACTGAAGAAGCACATAGAGCCCTGCATGGTGAGAACAGCATTCACACACTATAGAGCTCACTGCTGACCTTGGCAGTCCAGCTACAGACACACCACAGGGGCACTATTCTAGCCCTAGCAGCGCCCACAAGGCAACAGAATTGACTGAATAAGGATGAAGACACTCACCGCTGGGTGGTCTTTGCCCAGGGTCTTCTCACGGATGGAGAGTGCATCATTCAAGAGATGTGCTGCCTCTTTGTATTTATTTTGATCCCTGCAGTGCAAAGTCAAGCATTTATTCAGGATTTGGGCACCACGGCCCATTGCAAGCACAACTGCTAACAACAGTCCTTCCACACAGATTCAGCCCCCACAGCCCTTTCATTTCTCCATTCCTCCCTGCCAGTCCCTAGTTATACTAGGGAGTCTGGTGGTACAAATACCTCATCTGTGCCAAAACCTTTTTGAAAGGCAAATCACTGGAAGCAGGAAGCTCCCTATCACCACTATGTTCTGTGCTGGTAAATGGGAGAGACAGAAGGCTCTCATGGCCCAGTCCATGCTCACCTGTACACTAGTGCCAGGATGTTGAGCATGGTGGCCACATCAGGGTGATCATGGCCTGATGTCTTCTCCAGGTCCTCCAGTGCTTGCTTGCAGAGTGGCACAGCCACCTCGTAGCGTCCCTGGGAGGCGTACTGGATGACGAGGTTGTGGAGCGTGCGCAGGCGTGCAGGGATCTCATAGCCTCCCTGCTGGGCAGCTGCCACTGCACTACTGTGCTGGTGGGGCACTGCAGGCACAGAAGAACACAGGGGCACAGTTGGCACAGCAGGCTTGAACAGAGACAGCAGCAACCATGCACGAGCAAACACTTACGTCCAGGACCATGCTCCTCCTCCTCATTCGGGAACAGATCATCCAGAGAGTCCTTGGTGGAGTCACCCTCCTTCTCCTCCTGAGGGGATGGAATCATAGTACTGTGTGCTCTCAGAGAAGACAGCAGCCTGGGCTGAATCAGCTGCCAAATTCTCCTCCCTGCTGCAGCCCACCAACACCCTCAGTTTCCCCTGTTATCTCCACCACCATCTTCCACACCCCCACACCCTCCCAAATAAAGCCAAATTTCCCCCAGCAAACCATGGCATGCTACTTCATGCTCTTCCAGAGAGTCTGCCCCTTTAGTTATAGGGCAGAATCTCTGGAAGCTCCCTTTAGTTATAGGTATTGCTATGCATAGCAGCTGGGAAGGGGCAAAATCCAGGGTGATGCTATCACACCTAAGTAATCCCCCCGGTCCAGGCTTCCCCACCCTCAAAGGTGCTGCCCAACAGGACGGGGGCATACCGAAGGCGAGACATCCTCATCGTACTTCTTCAGCTGGTTCATGAACTCAAGGTGTTTCTTCTCCTCCTCCAGCTGAGCCACGGTCTGCTCACTGCGCTGCAGCTTCTGCTGGGTGTTGGCAAGCTCATCACGCAGCCACTGGTTCTCCTGGCACAGCCTCCGGACCTGAGCACGCAGCTTCTGCTTCTCTGACTCCACAGCATTCAGATGGTTGGACAATGCCATCATCACCTTGTCAAGAGTTACAGTCAGTAACTACCACAATCTGGTATCTCCCTCACGCACACGCTCAGGGTCCACCCTCAGGGTCACATTCAGCCCATTGCTGCCTCTGCAGCTTACAGGCAACAGCCACATGCCTGCCTTCCCCTGTCAGTGCTGGGTAACACTGCTCTCACCTGAGCCTCTCCAAGCCCCAATTCGATCATCTCTACTGACTTGCGGAGCAGGTTGGATTTTTCATGCACGAGATTGGCTTCTTCATCTTTCTTCAGGCACTTTATGGTTTCCAGCAAGCTGTGCAGGATGGAGTTGTGTTCATTCTTGAGTGCCTCCAGCCCCTGCATCACCAGCTTGGTATTGGAAATTATCTCCTCTTGGCTCAGCTTGTCCAGTTTCTCCTCCCTAGGGTACACCATGGTGGACATAGTCCTGCTTCTGCAGCCCTGCAAGGAGAGAGACAAAACCTGAGTGCCTCAGTGCTGCTTCAGAGAGCCACAACCAGACACAAGTGTCACAGCCTCCTTCAAGCAGCCAGAGACAGCATTCAACTGCTCCTCTGCTCTAAGCCCTTCCCCTGTGCCTTTGGCAGCTGTCAGGGCATGTGTTCCCACTTCTGTGGCATGAAATGCTGCAACCAGTGCAGGTGGCACACGTGGACAGGAGACAAAAGGCTGGAATCAGTGCTGACCTCCCACACCCCCACACTCCCAGCAGCAAGGAAAGCTGATTTAGCTTCCATTTAAGAGCATAGATTTGTAGTTGGCAGCTGGGGTTGCAATGTGTGCACCTCCTGCCCACAGACCACGATGCAAGGAGCCTGTTGGAGCTCAACACCTCTTCTGACTGCAGAGCAAAGCGAACAGAAAGCGGAGGGATGCCAGCTCAAAGCTTTCTGGTGCCTCAGTGCCAAATATCCTGGAAGAGCATCTCAGACAGGGAGGCACCTTACTGGCCAAATCAAACCTTCCCTGCCCAGAAGAGCCCACCCTCATAACCCCAAGCCTTGGCATAGGATGGCCATTGTGGTAAAAAGGGACAGAGACACCACCAACATGAACTGAATCAGGGCTGGTAACAACGGTTACATACATCAAGAGCTACAGTCACACTAATGTAACCTCCGTGTGCTGTCAGCTTGAAACACTAACAGCTTTTCCAGCTTTCCCTGCTGCCAGGCCAAGGGCTCATCAGGATGCCACAAGGACCCCGTACTCCTTCCCTGTCCTGTGCCCCCGGATACACAACAGGAGAGTGCCAAGCTACTGCCTTCGCACAGGGGCACCAAGTGCGGCAAAGCCACAACATCAGTGTGGCTGTGGGATCCCTGCAGGGTGAAATCCAGGGGAAATCCAAGGAAAGACAGCAGACATGAGCAGCAGGCAGCACGCTGTGGGTCGCCCCAAGGGCAGCTCCTGCAGGGCTGAAGGCGGCCGCTGCCATGCCCTGTGCACTGAACCTGGGCACCCAGGGCACTGAGCAATAAAGGGGTCCACTTTCTTCCTCACTGCAGCACTTGAAAGTGAAGATGGCAAAACCAAACAGTGCTGGGGCAGTTGCTCAAAGTACATACATCTCATTATGTCCACCCATTTCCTCCTCCTCAGCCTCACTCTTCCACAAGCTCCTCAAGTTGTTTTGTAGGCCTGAGCTCTCAGCTCATCTTTGGTTTCTGCTCCACTGATGCATATCCATCCCTCAGGAAGCGTCAGGAGACATGACATGTCTCCTGAAGACTGGGCTCCTATTCACACCTTTCAGCAAGATGTGAATACTCCAGAGTCACTATGTGACTTGACATTCACTTCATGATCATCATCACCAACCCCAAGCCATACTTCACTGTATTCTTCACTTTTGGGTATCTGCCATGCTCCATGTGCAGTTACCCTGTGCATTTTACACTGAAAAGTCTCATCTGGACTGTGACATTTCCCAGTTTGCTTTAGAGAAGACCATATTACAAGAATGGCATGAAAAACATCCCCAAGATCGAGATAGGGGCCAAAAACCACTCCAAAAGAAAGAATGGGTCTGTTGAGAGTTGGCTGCCACTCATATCCTGCCTTCCAACCTGATTCTGCAGGAACTGGTAGCTAAGCATTCTGCTCCCTGTTTCCCTTGGTTAATCTTTTCCCCACCTTTATAAACACATCTGGGGGAGCAATCGAGTTCTAGAACAGCAGGTTTCTGTGGGTGAACACAAGTCAGGAAGAGATGTATATCGATGCTAGCGCTGGCACATCTGGCAAAGCACTGTTATCCTGCTCTGAAATAGATCCAGACAGCTTCCCAGGAGGGCTCAGCAGGCACTTACTTGCTTCCAAAGGAGCCAAGGTTAACAACTGCTAAAGAGTGAAATGGCCCCAGCACTGGTTTCAGCTCATATGGAAGGAAACACAGCCCCTGACTCAGAAACAGGGAGTCCTCTGGAGCACCTGCAGTGCTTGGGACACAAGGAGGGCCCCAGGAGCAGCCCCATACACAGCACACAATAAAACAAGAGCTCTACCCTAAGGCTCACACAGCTGAGGAGCACAAGTGCCTCTTCACCCATCCTCTGCATCCTGGGTCAGCTGTGACATGCTGGCAGCTGTCATGGAAGCATTACTGATGTCCACAAAGAGATCTTGCTGCCATCCTCAAAAAGCACAATACAAATGCATCGGGAAGAATACATTACAAATCATGATAAAAACCCACCAGAGCTTGAACTTTCCTAGATAAGAGTCAGACAAGATCCAGAGCCATAGAAAAATCAGCCTCATTCAATCCACTGTGAACAGAGTAACTGAGAAATTGCCAAGCTGGATATTAAGCCACCAGTGCCTTCACTACAGTGACATCCTGTCTTTCCTTAGCCCTTCCAGCAGGAAAAAAAGCTTCAAGCATTTCACAGTCCCTACAATCAGCTTGGTTTTCCAAACTGTAAAGATTTCAGACTGAGAAAGAAAAATAATCCAAATATCCTGACCCACATCACAGACTTACCCTACCCTACAACAGCATCCTCAGGACACACCAACACAGGCTCCTCTTCTCTCACTGTCTGAACAAACACTTCTGCACAACCCTGGTCTTTCCTCCTTAGGGTGGCATCCTAGAAGCACAGCTCTGTTAGGTACCAACATGCTTCCAGCATTCAAGGGAGGACAGGGGATTATCCAGGCTGGACACATGGCACACAACCTGGGAACGACACGCAAGCTGTTCCTTCCCAAGTACCAGCAAGAAAACAACAAGATGACTGCAGAGAAGTCATTTTAACACTGATACCTCCCGTACAGTGAAGGAAACCAACAAAGGAGCTGACAACTTATCCCTCCAAATCAACAGTTCTTCCCACCAAAGCTTTGTTACCAGCTCTTCCCAGTGCTGGCAGCTCTACATGCTGTGCCCAGCCCTCCAGAGGAATCACACTATGGCAACTGATGATCAGGCAGGCCAAGGCTGCTGCACAAGCATCCTTACTGCTCCCACACAGCCAGTAAAGGGCACTGAGTGTCCTTTATCCAGGCAGAAAACACACTTGGAAGTTCCTGCAGAGAGGGGAACACACACCATCCTTTGCCTTTAGCAGAGGGAGGTCCAGCCAGGAACAGGAAGCAAGAATGCTTTTCCAACACGTTCCTTAGGAACTGGAGTTCACAGTTCCTAGCTTATCCTGGTGCATTCCTCATGGCTCTGCAGATGCCACAGCCCAGGTCTCCACCGCAGGTTTCTGCTCCAGTTGGCATGTCTTCCCTATTTACAGGAGCTGCTAGAACAGCCTGGCTTTCCGGCAACACCCATCTCAGCCCTGCACCCTGCTCCCATTTGGAGGAGCGCTGCAGTAGCAGCAATCAGCTGGGAATCCATCAGCAAGCACATCCTGCCAGGCAGGAACGTTCCTCCTGTACTCAAGTGCATAACTGGGAAATCACTGAGCATCAGCAATTTCAGCTGCCCACTTCTCTGCCTCTGAAAACTACTCCCACATGCAAGAGCTTTAAGAGGAAAGGGCTGGAAGCTTCACTGCTTCTATCTTAAACCCACAACAGCTGCCACAACAGAAACAAGGACACCAGCTTAAATGGGTCCCAGTGAATCTTAAAGCTTAGATCATGATGCCTAATGCTAGATAAAATACAGAGGAAAAAAAACAACAAGCATTGCAGGGTGGAGAAAAGTCAACTATACTAAGAGAGAGACCTCAGGTCTACACATGCCTCAACAAATGCGGTCTCCCCCCACGTTCCTAGACCAAGTGTATGTGAGACACAGGGTACCACCCCAACTCACACAAATGATACTGTCAAGACAATAACTGCAGCTTCCTTCAAGCTACATATACCCTTTCCACACTCTTGGTATAGAAATGGCCACATCTTTAGCAGCAAACTCTTCTGCAGAGGGTGATCTCAAGATACAGTGGTTGCAGAAAAACAGCTGAGTTCTGGGGAAAAAAAAAGCTTCCTATGGAAAAGAGCAAATCTGACCCATAGCAAGAATAAGGGAGCACATTCAGGAGACAGACAGCAATGGCAGCATTTAGAAATGGAAACACAAGGCTTAAAGTCTTATATTCACAATAATTACCCCAGTCTCATGCTGTAAGACATACTTTAGCTACCTGCAGAAACCAGTCACGTCTCTGTGGAGCAAACCACTTGATAAAAGCAGGGAGAGGTCTCCCCCCCCAACCCTTCTTTGGGCCTCTGCCAGCTCATTACTGTTAGATGATAGAATAAAAGGGCTCTGGAAAGGCTGCCTGACCTCCAACGAAGCTGTGAGATCACCAACGTCCAGCTGAGCCTCCACTCCTAAGGGATACTGTGACAAAACCTACACCTAATGCCTTGGACACTGGAAAGTAAAATACAAGCAGTAAGAGCAAACACAGTGCCAAGGTTGCAGTCATTCCAGAGGCTGTGTCATGAGCACAGGCTTCCCCCTTATTTCGACACCAGTGTCAGAAAGCAGAGACTGTGGCAGACTGCAGTGGGCGGGCGGTGCAGAGCCTCTGAGGCTCCCACTGCACAGCCAGGGCATTCCGACCCTGACAGGAGGCTTGGACACTGCCACACCACTGCCAAAAGAGCTACTGTGCTCAGTGTCACCACCCCAGGCCACAGCCAAGGGATAAATCAGTGCTGGAAAGCTGCACATCCAGCAGTCAGCATTTCCAGAGATGCTCCAGTATGGATAAAACAAGAGATATAATCAGCTCTTATGGTGCCCAAGAGCTTCACAGCTAAGAGCAGCTGCACACAGATGCGTTAAGGCTTCAGAACTAGAGGCAAGAAAGGATGTTTTGCAGATGAAGGGCTAGGTGGGTGCGCAGTCAGCTTCAGGGTAATGTTAAGAACTGCAACATGGATAAAAGCCATAAATTAGAGGGCAAATGCCAGGTTCCTAAAAGTAATAACAGGTGGAGTAATTGTGGTATATGCCTCCATCCTGGGATACATGCCTGCTGAGGTTCGTACAAGGCAGAGTGGGAATGGCACTAAGTGATGCTTGTTACCCCTTCCAGAACAGGCTGGTATATCTCATGCTCCCTTAGAGCCACTAAGAACACACAAAGAGGAGATCAGGCAGAGGTCAGCACCCTGGGAGTTCACAGCCAGCATCTTTCAGCTGCAATCCCAAGCCAACAGATCTGCCCAAAGTTCTTTCCCAACCCCAGTCTGGATGTTTATTGCACTGCAGTCAAACCAACCCACAGATAACTTCAAGTACCATAGAGAAACTGTTGTGTTGCAATTTCCTCCTCAATAAAAGAATCTGGCTGTTGTATTACTTGGAAGGGATGCCTAGAGGTTTCTTCACTCAAAACAGGCATCTGATCACATATCTGTGCCTAGACAAGGACTATCACTCAAAAAGGAGATCCCACAAGCCCTTCAGACCCCTGTTACATGGCTTAACTATCCTCATGTTTTTAAAAAACCCTAAATCCTCATATAAATTCCTTAGATAAACTCCATTTGCCTTTGCTGAACACCACTTCAGGACAAAGGGACCAGGCACCACAGCACTAGAAACTGACCCATGGCTCAGAGGAAGGGAATGCAGCACGTGCCTCCTTTCACGCAGGGTCCCATGGGGACAGGGTCCCTCTTGTCCCAGAGCAAGAGAGGCAATGGAATCCACCTCCAGCAGCAGAGCAGGGACTGGAGGCAAGGAGCTGTCCCACCCGCATTCTTCCATGCCCAAGGAGCAGGACTCTGCATCCAGACACCCCCTTCACGTGGTTTTAAAGCCTATGCCCAAGCCCAGAGAGGCTTCTCCAGGCTCTGGAGTCATGTGTAACTCAGTATAAGTTGACTGTGCTGTTGGAAAGAGCGCAGCCCTCCCCATCCCCTGGACAGGGCAGGGCTCAAGGCCAGGACTGCTCCTTTCAGCAGCAGCTGACACATACCAGCTCAAGCCGAGTGTGAAGCTATGGCAGCTTTCCTAAGACACTGGAAAGCCTGTGTTGGGAATGGCCATGCTGACCAGCAGGCTGCAGGAACCCTGGGACTTTGAACCAGGACTATGGAACTGGATTTGCAGCTCTCCCACAAGGAGATCAGAGGCTCCCTTCATGCTTTCCCTTCAGCACTGAAGACTCCTCTGTCCCAGACGCTTCAGCTCCCCACCACCTTCAGTTTCTAACTGGAAACATACCGTAGCATAACCTTCCTGAAACCTAGGGCAAGCTGGTGGTAAGCTTGATGTATGGGCACTTGGCCACAGTGACTCAGTTTTGTATCACCAAAGAAAGGATCTGGGAGCTTCCCATCCCCTTCCCACTTTCCAGCCCACATACGGAAATGGCAAGTCGAAAGCTACCAGGATTTGTTCCAATCGACCAGAGCAAGCAATTCATGTGTTACCGAAGCACGATCCAATTCCAACAAACATGTGGTCTGAAGAAGACAGAAGAGGTTGTCTGACTTTCTATCTGATCACACATTGCATCCAAGACCAGAAAGGGTCTTACTCCTCCAATTCATTAGTGGTCAAAGAATGCAGATATTGGAGGCAACAGGGGTTAAAACACCCACAAGAAAACAATGAAACTAGAAAGAAACCAAACCAGCACCAACACATGCCATTAGCAGAAAGCCATTTTGCTCCTTATCGGAGTTCAGGCTGTCCACAACCCCATCTGGCCAGGGAGACATGCACCTCTTAGCAGGCCACTGCAACAAGAACAACAGCGTTCACCACCCCCGCCAACAAGCTCATGCTAGCACCTCCAGATCAGCTGATAAGGCCTTGTTTTTAAACTCCTGCAGAATGCATTTGGTGAGCTGCTGCAGACATAAGCATCCTCTGTGCCTCAGACTACAGTGGAACAGCATTAAAAGCTGTTTCCAGGCTAGTGGAGACAAGAGCTAAGCAGCTGGAATGAAGCCAGGACAAGCATCTCTTCCTAGCTCCAGGATCTGATTGGGAGTCTCGCTCTGTGCAAGACAGAAGGAGAGCCATTACCTTGCCCTCATAGCATGAGGCGGTATTAAAGCAGGCACAGTAAATCCCAGGAGCCCATGCCTTTGCAGGCATCTGTCTAATGCAAGGGCTGTGCGCTGGATGTGCCTCACAAGTACAGGAGATGGTCAGGATGCAGCTGGGACCATCAAATGTGCTCAAGCTGCAGTGTACGCCGAAGGGCTCTGGAGCTCCCGCACTCCCTTCATGGTGCACCTGGGTCAGCTCCAGCGACCAGCTGACTGCAGGGCTGAGCTATTACTGCCAGAAGCAAACAGGACGTGTAAACCATAACAAGGCAGCCAAATCCAGAGAGACAAAACTCTACCCACACAACAAGCAAAGGATCTGTTTTACCTCTGGCTGCCCTGAACAACTGGAATTCTTGGAGGAGATAAATGTCTCTTTCCTAGCAAATCAAGCCCTTATTCAGCAATTCCACCAAGGGCAAAATCTCGCCACATGCCCTTTGTGTCCCAAGAGCCATTTTGATATTTGGGGTTAATGCTGTTCCTACCTGGACATTCCTCCAAAAAAGCAGATGAGCAAGCACGCACTTCCTGCGCCTTCTGCCAATTACAGCAGTGCTCAGCCATGTTTATTTACCCTCTGTCTGAGCTGGCCAGATCTTTGACCCGATGCATGCTGAACACCACCCTGCCTCCCTTCATGCAGAGGCAGGGGCTCTCCACGTCTCCAAGGTGGCACTGGAGACCAAGGGCAGTAGAGGAGACCTCAGTGAGGCGCCGCAGGAGCACGTCAGATGCCAGCCCTGCAGGACGCAGGGGAGCCTGCGGCTGCTGGTAATGCTCTGCTGCCTCCCACCATTGTGCACGTTCTCCCGGCTGCCTGGCCACAGCGTTCTGCTGCAGCACCATCCCCCAAACACCTCCTCCCAGCCGCATCTTCTCCCTCCCAGCAGCTCACTTGCAATTGCTTCCCCCACTGCTCCCACCTTCAGTGGGGTGCACCTCCACTGCAAGCAGCTTAGTAAGCAGTTTATTAATGGGAGGAAGGTTTGGGGGGAAACAAGGTTTGGGAAGTTTGAGAGCCATTGATGCACGCCAGGAGCTGCCTCCGTCATCGCTTCTCGGGCTTTGTCTGGCAGCAGGAGGCACGCCCGCTGCTTATCCTTGGAACAAGCAAGCTGGAGAACCCCCCCCATCCCTCCTCAGTACCACCACAGAGAAACCCTGCGCCCACCCAGCTAGCTGTAAGGCTCCCAGGGAGAAAAGTTTTCACCGGCTCTACCAGAAATGGCACATCAAAGCGGTCCTTTGTTACAGGCCGGCTGGGCACCCTGCCTGCTGCCTCAGTCACCAGATGGGAATCCTGCCCACCCCACCCCACCCCACCGAGGAGCAGTACCTGGCTGCCTGCAGCAGCTTGTCCAGCGCTGGCACTCCCGGAGGCCCCGGCGCTGCGGGGAAGCGCAGGCTGCGGCGATGCGCGGCTCCCACCGCGCTGCACTCCCGGCTCTAGCAGAGGCGCAGGCACCAGGCGCTCGGCAGCCAACCACACTGCAGCGGGCGGGGGGGGGAAAGGGGGGAGGAGGAGATCCAGGCTCCAGAAACAGGATGGTGGGATGCTCTCCCGGCAGCGCAGAAAGCATCACGCACACCAAGCCCAGGGCTTCCTCCTCAGGAACCCACAGGAGCCCCAAGGAATGGGACAGAACCTCTGAGCTGAGGCTGCATGCTGCCCAAGGAGCATTACCCCACCATCAGTTCGTGCTCAAACAGCCACAGTCACCCCTGGCCTGCACCAGCTATATCTGCGCCATCCAACACTCAGTCAGGTTTCACATCCTGCTTGGTATCACCTTCACCCGTGTCCCCACTGCTGATCCCAAGCCAAGCTGTGCAATCGCTATCACTGTGCCCACAGAAGCAGGCAGATCCAGAACAAGATCCCAATGTTAACACTGCAGGATGCAGAGCTGGGCCAGCACTGCCTGGAAGCATCTGTTCTACCCCTAGATGCTTTACATGGAGAGCACAGATGCTGCAGCACTGCAGCATCCAATGTAGTCAGTGAATTGTTGCTATAACCACCCCAGCACAGCAACACAGAACTTCCACAGCGCAATCCACAGTGTTTTGTGAGCCTCTGGAGGCATGCTGTCCCCAGCTACCTACATCTGCCTGAGCCACTGCTCCGCTGGGATCCCTGACCCTCCCCACAGGTGCTCTCGGAAGGGGGGAAGAGGAGGGAAACCAGCCATGGTGACACATAGGCTCTCTCTTGCCTACCACACAACACACACTTCTCCACTACAACATCTTACAGTTCTCCCTTCCCTAGTTCTGAGGGCAAACCCAGCTGGCCATAGGGGTACGCATGGCTACAGTGGGGTTAAAGAATTCACAGCAGTATAACAGGAGCGCAAATACACCTTATTTATCTTACACAGCCAGCCATTCCCGGCAGTGAAGACACAACCTAATTTTAGAGCAGTGAATCTCTCACTGTGTCCACAGCACCCTGGAAACTGCCATACCTCAAACCCTGTGTTCAGCTATGTCTCCTCACTACAAGAGAGACATTGAGGTGCTGGAGCAGGGCCAGAGAAGGACAACGGAGCTGGTGAAGGGCCTGGAGCACAAATGTGATGGGGAATGACTGAGGGACCTGGGGGGGTTCAGTCTGGAGAAGAGAAGGCTCAGGGGGGACCTTATTGCTCTCTACAACTGCCTGAAAGGAGGATGGAGCCAGGTTAGGCTCTGCTCCCAAGGAACAAGGGATGGAACAAGAGGAAACAGCCTCAAGCTGCGCCAGGGGAGGTTTAGGCTGGATATTGGGAACAATTCCTTCCCCAAAGGGCAGCCAGACAGCGGTGGAATCACCGTCGCTGGAGTTATTCACAAACCGCGTAGATGAGGCCCTCAGTGCCATGGGTTAGTGGTGGCCTTGGCAGTGCTGGGGAACGGTTGGGCTGGGTGATCTTAAAGCTCTCTTCCAACCTGGTTGATCCTGTGTTTCTATGAGTCAGGCTGTCCCACCCTTGCTATAAACACACGCCTCCCTCTGGGCTGCCGGCCCCTGCCAGCCGTCGCTGCGTGGCAGGGCAGAGCACAGGCCCAGCGCTGCCCAAGGAGAACAGGACCCGGCGGTACCGCCAGAGCCGAGGGCTCGCCAGGGTCCCGATGTCCGCGGGGCTCACCCCGACAAGGCGCCGTTACCGCGGCCCCCGGCCCTGCGACATGCCCTGCCCCTCTCCGAGGAGCTCCTGTATGGGGACTGCCCGAATCCGCTCCGAAGCGGGCGACCACCCTCCCCACGGGCCCCGCGCAGCCGCCGTGCCGGTCCCTCGGTGGCCCGGGCCCGCTGGTCAGGGAGACCCACCGCACCGCCCGCGGCCAGGAGAACGACCGAGTCCCGGGCACCACAACCTTCCCCCGCCCAACCTGCTCGGCGCTCGGTCTCGATGGCGGTGCCGCTCGCAGTCCCGGTCGCAGTCCCGGGTCAGGGCGTGAGCCCAGCCCAACAGCAAAACCCTCAGCCGCGCAGCCCCTTTAAATCCAACATGGCCGCCGGCCCCGCCCCTCCGGCCTCCCCCGGTGCCGCCCCGCCCCGCTCCGCCCCGGCCCGGCGCAGGCGCAGCGGCGGCAGCGATGGCGGCGGGGCTGTGCCGCGCCTTCGGGGCGCTGCTGCTGTCGGCCGCCCGGCCCCGCGCCCCCCCGCCGGCCCCCGTGCCCCATCTGCCGGGGGCCGCGCTGGCGGCTGCGTGCCGAGCGCTGAGCGGCTCCGCGCCGTGCTACACCAGAGACCCTATGTGGAAGTGCCGGGTCAAGTACACGGTGCGCCCCGTGGGCATGAAGAAGACGGGCGGGCGCGACCACACAGGTGGGCGGGTCGTGGGCGGGCAGGGCCTCGCCGGGGCAGTGCCGGGGTGTTCCCGCCTGCAGTGGCTTCCTCTGTCCCCGCAGGCCGCATCCGCGTGCGGGGCATCGGCGGGGGACACAAGCGGCGGTACCGAATGATCGACTTCCAGCGGCTGCGCTACGAGAAGGGCGCCCCGGCAGAGCCCTTCAGCGAGAAGGTCATCGCCGTCCGATACGACCCTTGCAGGTGAGTGCGGGGTGAGGGCTCTGCCCCGGGCCCGGACGCCTTGTGGTGACCCCCCCGAACCCACCCACCGCGGGGCCCTGTGCAGGTCGGCAGACATAGCCCTGGTGGCTGGTGGCAGTCGGAAGCGCTGGATCATCGCCACGGAGAACATGCAGCCAGGGGACATCATCAAGAACTCCTCTCACATCGGCAGGATGGCAGGTGCACACCGGGGCCGGGGGGGGGGCACAGCCCAGCCCTGCCAGAGGCTTCTCAGCTGCTCCTCAACCAATGCATCTGCTTCTGTTTTCCAGTGTCCGCCAACGAAGGGGATGCCTACCCGCTGGGGGCTCTGCCTGTCGGCACGCTGATCTGCAACCTGGAGAGCCACCCTGGCAAGGGAGCGCAGTACATCCGGGCAGCCGGTGTGTCTCTGGGCAGGGGACCCGCTGCTGGTAGCCACTTCTGGCTTAGGGCAGATGGAGAGGATGGCAGAGGGACACTGCTCTGCCTGGCCAGTGACAGGGAGTTGCTGTCCTCTCTCCTCCCTGTGTTACAGTGCAAAACAAGCCTTCCTTAGAGGCAGGGGCAGCTCTGCCCCATTGCTGGCTGGTGATGCCTGGACATTCTGTCTTCAGCAAGAAATGCGCCCTGACGGGCAACAGCAGGGGCCCTGGGGAGTTCCCAGCACAGGGATGTGCTCACCATAGGGTGGGATACTTTGTCCTGCTGCTTGGGGTAGCTGCCTACTCTCCTCTTGCCTGCTGCAGGGACTTGTGGGGTGCTGCTGAGGAAAGTGAATGGGACCGCCATCGTGCAGCTGCCTTCCAAGAGGCAAATGCAGGTAGAGGAGCCATGCTATTGCTGACCTGACCGCCTGGGCACAAAGATGTGTGTTCCCAGGAAGGCCTGCAGCTCTTCCCTGTCCCCTAGGTGCTGGAGACCTGCGTGGCCACAGTGGGCCGTGTGTCCAATGTCGACCACAACAAGCGGGTGATCGGGAAGGCAGGACGGAACCGCTGGCTGGGCAAGCGCCCGCACACAGGCTTGTGGCACCGCAAAGGTGGCTGGGCTGGGCGCAAGATCAAACCTATCCCACCCATGAAGAGCTACGTCAACCTGCCGCGGATTGCGGCACAGAAGTGATGTCGGTGGCCAATAAAACGTTCCCAACACCACCACTGTTGCCTTACTGCTGCCTTTTCTGCACGGGACCTCGGGTGGGTGCTTTCCCCATGAGATTTGTTCAGCCCCTGCCAGGGGATGAACGTGGGGCTGTGGGCTGCCTTGGCTTGAGCTTGTAGTGGTGGTGGGATCTTGGTGGGGTCAGAGCTCTGTGCAATCCTGCCAGACCTAGCTACGGGGCAGCCAGGCTCATTCCTCTTCCTCAGCTTACAACGCAGTGAAGCCAAGTGGGCAGCTGGGCGGTAAAGGCAGCACGGTGGCTGCCAGCCAGGACGACCCGCTGGGGAAGCGCAGCCGGTGGCACCTCTCGGTCCCGGTAGTGCCCTCCTCGCTGCTTCCCAATCCCCTGCCCCTCGCCGCGTTACCTGTCCCGCTGCGCCAGCCCCGGCCCGGTGCCGCCCGCTCCGCCGCGGGCACGGCACTGGTCGCCGCGCGGCTCCCGTCCCGTCGGGGGCGCACTGCGCATGCGCGCCTGCCGACCCGGAAGCGCCGTGGGAGCGGGTGGTGGAGGTAACGCGGACCGGCGCGGCTCCGCGGTGGAGGGTGGCGGACCGGGGCTGGGGCTGGGCCCGGTTTGGCCTGGTTATCCTGGAGGGACCCTCTGCAAGAGGCCTCGCTGCGGAGCCCCGAGGGCCGGCAGCCCGGCCGGTGAAGCCCATGGGGGCTGTGACAGTTAGATGAGACCGGGCAGGGCCAGGGTGCCCTGGGAGCCCTCGCTCTTCCAGGGCTGTGTTAGCGGCCGTGGGCACAGCCAGTCCAACAGCACGTTTGAGTTGTTAACCGGCCACGTTACAAGCACTGAGATCCACAGGATCCGCCACAGCAAAGCCCATCCCTCAGCCACCTCCCCCCAGCTCCTGCTCCCCCTCTGCCTCTGCAGGCACGCTTCCCATCATGGTGAATGAGAAGCGTAATGGCAACCTGCTGGTGCCCCTGGGACCCAAACTGCAGGCCTACCCAGAGGAGCTGCTGCGGCAGCGGCGAGGCCACGATGGGCAGCCCGAGTACCTGATCCAGTGGAGGATCGTCAGCCTGGAGGAGAGAGCAGCGGGCGGCAGCAGCACCTCCTCTGCGGAGACGAAGCTGGAGAACGTCTCCATGTGGATGTCTGCAGAAGAGGTCTGTGCCAGCTGCCTGGCGCTGCTGGACCAGAGGAAGCTGGAAGGGCAGCGTGTGACAGGGGAGAAGGCAGCCAGCCCCTCCGCTGCAGATGTCCTGGGGGATGAAGCCTCGCTGCTGGAGATGAAGGCTGATGTCAGGAGCCTGGTGCAGCGAGCTGGCCGGCAGATGGCCGAGTCCCAGGCCCCCGCGTCCTCCATCCTCAACATCATCCACGTGCTGAGTGCTTATGCCAGCATTGGCTCGCTGGTGGGTGCCTTCAAGGAGACGGGAGCCCTTGACTTGCTGATGAAGATGCTGTGCCACAAGGACAAGCAAATCCGCCACAGCGCTGGCAAGATGCTGAGGGCCCTGGCTTCGCATGATGCAGGTGGGGGCTGCTGCTGCTCACTGTCCCTGAGGAGGTGCTGCTGGGCAGCTGAGGGGTGCCAGCCCTTTTGTAGGGGTTACCTTTAGGGAGCCTAAAAGGTTTCTGTTGTTGCAGGAAGTCGGGCCTATGTCCTGCTGTCCCTGAGCCAGCAGGATGGCATTGAGCAGCACATGGACTTTGAGAGTCGCTACACCTTGTTGGAGCTGTTTGCTGACACAATATCCTCTGAAGAGCACTGCATGTCCTTTGAGGGGATTCACCTTCCCCAGGTAGGAGCAGCCCTGCCAGCGCTGGGGCTGCTGAGCAGGACTGGGTACAGGGAGAGCTGGCCCAGCATCTGGGTCTGGCTTGAAGCTGAGGGGTGTTGGAGGGCTCACCCATGGAGTACCTGAACAGGGAGACGAGGGTGGGCTGAGAGGTCTCTGTTGCTGCCTGCTGGCCCAGAGCTGTCACGGTTAGAGTCTGAGAGCCGTGCTTGTTGCAGATCCCTGGGAAGCTGCTGTTTGTGCTGGTGAAGCGCTACCTGTGCGTCACTTCTCTCATGGACCAGCTCAGCGGTGATGTGGAGCAGGGAGGGGAGCAGGAGGCCGGCGCTGTGCCCAGCGCACTCACTGAGGAGAAGAGCCGTGTGCAGCAGGAGTTTGAGTTCAGCATGGCCATGGCAAACCTCATCTCGGAGCTGGTGCACGTCATGGGCTGGGGCCACAGCCCCAAGGCAGAGCCGCCCCCCCCGCAGGAGCCGCAGCCTCGCGCCACCCGCTCCATCTTCCAGCCCAGGCCCGCATCCTGGGGCGCTGCTCCAGCAGCCCCCGCTCCCGCAGCCAAGGAGCCCGGCGGCTTCAAGACGCGCTCGGCCTTCCCGAGCCGCAGCAGCTATGTGGAGTACGTGCAGGCGCGGCTGGTGCGGGGCATGCGGGTGCGCATGCTGGAGGACTATGAGCAGGTCAGCGCGGGCGACGAGGGCGACTTCCGGCAGAGCAACGAGGGCACGCCGCCCGTGCAGGTACCCTCTGCGGGGCTGGGCCGGGGCGGGCTGTCAGCTCTGCCCCTGTGCTGCGGGCAGGGAGCTCACAGTGGTGCAAGTGTGGGAGCAGCGGGGCTGGAGCTGCCTTCCCTCAGCCGGTGTGCGTCGCGCTCTCCTCCTCAGGTGTACTGGCAGGCCCTGGGCTGCACGTACTGGGTTCACTGGCACATGGTGGAGATCATTGGCTCTTCAGGGCAAGAGGAGCGTGGGGGCCAGGAGAAGGTGTCCACCCTGACACACAGCTGCAGACTGGCAGCAGGTGAGCAGTCCGTCAGCTGGGCACGCAGCTTTCCTCCCCAACCCTTCTGCAGCTGCACGCTGGCGCTGTGGGTTCTGCTGGTGCCGGCTGTGTGAGTGCGTTGCCTTGCCTGGTGCAGGCACTGTGGGGACAGGCCAGGGGAGCAGTGAGCTGGAGGTGCCCATTTTGAGCACTTTTGTTCTACATCCTAAAGAGGTTCAAGTGATGATGGTAATGCCCATCTCTACAGCTTCTCAGGTCTCCTCCTAGATCATTCCCCCTCTCTGGCTGCCCTCCTGTCACCTGCCTTTCCCACAGCAGCCTGTGGGGCACTGGAGAGAGCTCTTTCTCTGGGGAATGTGGGGTGTGCAGCAGAGGATGGTGGAATGGGCAGAGCTGACGGTGCCCTGCTGTGCTCTGTCCTCCTGCAGTTGCGCAGCCGTTGTTCTGCAAGCCCTCTGGGGGGCTGTACTCCCTGCCTTACCTGGGGGAGCGTTCGACCAAGGCTGCAGAGGCCCTGAGCCGTGCCGAGTGGTGGGAGCTGCTTTTCTTTGTGCAGA